TACTGAGCGTAACAAGTGGTGCAGTAACATAGAACATAGAAGTTTTTTCAATTAAAAAATTGTGTGAGCAAAATGTTCATAGCGCGCCTTCTCTAGGGTTAAAAAAAATTACCATTGTCGGTTCAACACCTAGGTGTCTTCAGTCCTGTCACGTTGAATTCATTTTCCCCTTGGCCTGGATCACCACCTGAGCGTCTTTAGTTCTTTCGCGTTGACCTCCTATTTGTGTAGCCGTAGCCAATTTAACATCGAGATTTATCAAGATAATGAAAATTCTGAAAGATTTTACATTACTCTTCACACGATAATGAATTTCTATTGACAGCATAACACTAGTCAACTTTAGTTTAGGTGAAATTAAACTGTATTATTTTATTAACTTAGAACTGTATTCTGATTATAGACATCCCAAAAATTTCGGTTTCCTACGTGTACTTTTTTTAATATTTGCTTCCAACMAAAAACAGATTTATAAAGCAAAACACCATTTATTAAATTATCATGTATACAAACATTTTCTTTTTCCCGACTTTCGTGAATAAGATGTATTAGGACAATCGCGTTGCATACCTCTGCTGCTGGTAGGACATCATATACCGATCACATCGACCTTGATACCTCTGCTCTATAGTTTTAAGGTCCTGCTGAAACCGCTCACCCTGTTCTTCGCTATAAAATCCAAGATTCTCTGGAAATTGAATGAAACTTAATTGAATCGAACTTAAGAATACTCTATCCATAATTAATGTTCTTATCTTTGTACTGTCGAATATTACTGCTTTTAACTTTTCTATGCTTAGACCAGTAATTTTCCTAGATATATAAGAAAAACATTGCCCATTTTCATCTATCGTCTTAACAAATTTTTTCATTATGCCTAGTTTTATGTGCATGGGGGCAATATAATTTTATTTCTTGAAACCAAAGGTAGGTTGTTGACATTTTATATTCCAATCTCTTTTTTCCCACTGTTAATGGGTATTTGGTGTATGCACTCTGCTCTCCTAATAAGAAATTGACCATTTAAATAACAACACGACTACTTCTTTGGTGTTCGTTATGTTTGACTTTGTCTAACGCCCTGCCCCAATCCACATCATCCACAATAAGAAAAATAGGCACTTTTTACAAAATTCGTTATAGACTTTCCATATTTTTTGACTGTGTATTCCACAGATGATCCAAACCATATTTGGCTCTTTAAGACAACTTCTTCGCGATGAAGGTATGATGTTGGAATAAATATATTTGCACAAATGTTCCGATAAGTTAGCAAAAAGAACTAGTTAAAGTACTGATTACAGCCAATATTCAAAAGTGGGCGTAGATCGGAAACGACACGTAAGAAAAAAATGCCAAATAATTTAATTTTACCAATTAACATTTAGTCCAAAACCGTTGACATGGTGTCACCTAAGTTTTTTTCTTTGTGTGGGCCAGTGTAACCTTTGTTTTTATCTTCTTTATATTCTTCTTATTTTTATACCATTACAAAATATGGTAATATTAATTTTTTCTTACTGGCAGCCATTTTCCTATTGTATGAATAAATTCACCCAAAGTTAAATATGGAATTAAAGATAATTTTGCACTATTTAATAT